TTGAGGTTTTTCTTTTGCAGCGTTTTAGCTTTCTCTACATACATGCACAACAGGCATTTGTTTATATTTTCATGTTTATCCATCCTGTAATTGGCTATGGCTGTTGGATGTTGCTAAATAAATAAATAAATAAATGACCGCGTTACGTGGGAAGTACGGAGTCAACCTATATGACGCCCTTTTTGAGTGAAGTTTGACGGTTTTGATTTTCTTAGGTGACTTGAAATATTTTGTCATTTCTATATCTGAGTCTATTGCTCTACACTGACACCTAATGTCAGAATAATAACAAGAAGAATCTTAGATTACAAATATTGACATGAAAAATCTTCTACTAAAACTAGGGACACTAATTCGAATGTGTTTTGAACCTGTAGTCCTTCTCGCATAACAACCAATACAATTAATCGAACCGAGCAAAACACATGATTTGCGTGCATATGTAATGTTAAAATTATCACGTCGTACTTTATAGTATGCCTGCCCGAATGCACATGCTGCGTATTTATACCTTTGCATTCTGAAATATATTTTGCGGTGCATCACCTAAACGCAGCGGCGATGTGTTATTCTCTCCATTGGAACTGGTTCAAGTCATTTTAAATGTTAATGGGACATTTTGTCAATTGCGCGGTCATAATCTGGCTGGAATACCGTCTAATGTTTTTCGACGTTTTGTAAAAATTGTTGGTGTTTAAGTCTGCGGGCTTATGTCAGTATGCGTTTTTGAAATTTGGTGCGTGTTGCGGCAGTGGACCGGTGTGTAAAACATAAACTCAAATAGAGAGGTAGTTATTTTCTTGTTAGTCGAAGAGCCTGTGTCACAAAACCCTCAAGTACTCGGTAGGAAAAAAATTCCACTCCCAAGTATACAGGGTGCTGTGCCATAAATTACTAGGTTAGGTTAGGTTTCTTGTGAGTGCATCAATAACGATCCTCCACTGCGACTCTTTGGTCTATTGTGGCACACACCTATTTATATTTCCACCTGTAGCTCCGACCTCATGAGGTCGATCAACGTGTTTGAAGAAATATCCTTCAGGTCTTCTGCTTGGAGTACTACGTCTCCAAGTACCTATGTTGTACCTGATTCTGGCAATTGCAGGGCATCTGCACATAAATAAATAATGAATAAATAAATAGCGATTATTGCCCAACAGCTAAGGAAACCATCTGCGATTTTAAGAAAAGATAAAGCAAACTAACAAAAATGAATAACATACAAGGAAAAAACAAACACGAAAATGAATCAAAAACATATTTCGCCCAAGTGAGAAACATATCATAAATGGCTTAAGTAACTCCTAGCTACTCCTATAATGTTGTTGGCACTGACAGCATGTATATCACAATAATTAGATACGACATTGAAGATTTCACATATGGTGCAGCAGTTCCCTTCACACACTCAGACCACCCCCCCTCAGCTCTAAAGACTGCATTTGAAAACTAGACAATAACAAACTGTAAGATATACCCTGCCCAGGATATGCACCATCAACCTTCAAATATAAATATTGGAGAAACTTTTTCTGGTAATGCTCAAGAGAATCAATGTAACGGGTGATTTTTTAAGAGGTATAGGATTTGATTTTCAAAAAAAACTATTTGAGTCGATAGAACGATCGATATAATTTAATGTTTAAAGATTATTTCATGTAAATGTTGGCCGCGGCTCCGCTTTAGATGGCCTATGCGCAAGGTCCAATTTTGGCACACTCTCTCCAACATATCGGCCGGTATCTCACGAATAAATACTTCAATATTGGCTTCGAGTGCGTCAATCGTTGCTGGTTTATCCCTGTAGACATTAGCCTTAACATGGCCCCACAAGAAATAGTCCAACGGCGTTAAATCACACGATCTAGTCGGCCAATTGACGGGCCCCAAACGTGAGATAAACTGTTCACCGAACTCGTCTCTTAATAGGGCCATTGTTTCGTGTGCGCTGTGGCATGTGGCACCGTCTTGTTGAAACCACATGTCAGCCAAGTCCAGCTCTTCCATTTTGGGCAAAAAAAGTTTGTGATCATCGCACGGTAGCGCTCGCCATTCACAGTTACGTTCCGGCTATTGTCGTCTTTGAAGAAGTACGGCCCGATGATGCCACTGGCCCATTAGCCACACCAAACAGTGATTTTTTCGGGATGCATTGGTAGCTCTTGCAATGCTTCTGGCTGGTCTTCACTCTAGATGCGGCAATTTTGCTTGTTAACGTACCCATTCAACCAGAAATGAGCTTCGTCGCTGAACACAATTTTTCGATGAAAATGTGGATCTTCCTCCAACTTTGCTAGCGCCCATTCACCAAATTGGAAACGTTGTGGGAGGTCGTGTGGCTTCAATTCTTGCATCAGCTGCATCTTATAAGGTTTTACACCCAAATGCTGTCGCAAAATTTTCCACGTAGTGGAGTAACAGAGGCCCAATTGCTGCGAACGGCGGCGAATCGACATTTCAACGGTCATCACTAACACTGGCGGATACAGCCGCAATATTTTCTTCAGTCCTCACTCTACGTCTGCGTGTTGGTGGTTTAATGTCAAATAATGTAAACTGGGTTCGAAATTTAGTTACAAGCTTCCGAATAGCTCCCTCAGTAGGCCGACCAAATTGCCCATAAATTGGAAGCAGTGCTCGATGCACTCTCTTAACCGAGCATGAATTTTGTTAGTAAAATTCAATAATCCGCAAGCGTTGTTCGTTCGTAAGTCGATTCGTGGTTAAATTATAGACCAAACTGAACAAGTTTGACAATGAGACAAGACACGATTCACGTGTCATCTGTCAAAAACAGTGTTGCCAAAAAGATACTAGCAAAAAAGTCACCCATTAGTAACTGTAAATTAGGTTCCATATTAACGGTGCATATTTCAATTTCGATCTAATAGATGCAGAATACGAAACCAACAGTGACTCTGGGCGGCTGAAGCTTTTGCAGTTTCTCACAGTAAAACCGTGAAGCTTCACTCACCTGTTGAGCTATCTGGAGTGAGAAAACTACACCCAAATCCTTAATTGAGGCACAACGATTTATATAAACATCCCCAATCGTATAATTAAATCTACAGAAAGAGTTTTTCCTGGAAAAGCTGACTACACTACACTTTTATGCATCAAGAAATAAATTATTCTCGTCACACCAAGCTACTTAACAATGAATATTCCGCAATACAACCAGCCTCAGAATCAGTACTCCTGAATAATTTTAAATCATTCGCAGAGAGGGATTTTGTTACCTCTCAAATATTGCGGAATATCATCATAAGGTAAACAATAAAGAACCAAGGTTTGAACCGAGGCACTATTGATCTAGTCACATACTGGTACGACTTGAAGCCATTGATATTGCTTCGTTTCATAGAGCTTATTCAAAAGTTTGCCATGGTCCACCCTATCGAATACTTTAGCAAAATCAGTATACTACATCTAGTTGACCGCGCTGATCGACACATTCAAAAGAAAACTGAGTAAAGATTGTTAAATTAGTTACTGTGGATCTTTAGTAAAAAACACATGCTGAAAAGGTGACAGAGATCTATGAACTGTGGAGTAAATTCTAGTATGCAATATGATCTCCAGCAATTTGGAGAAATTTTACAATATTGCTACCCCTCTATACTACTTAATATGAGTATTATCCCCTGATTTGGAAATAGGTGTCGCTCTAGAGAGGGGATATTGTCTGGGCCGACCTTTACTTTCTTCTTGAGTCTTTTGGATCCAGCAATAATCTCATTTTCATGAATGTCATTGAAAAATATGTTAACTTGACTAAAAGGATTCCTGCCTCCAGTAAAATCATTATGAGAAGATCACCAAAGGCATTATTAAAAAAAATGCAAATGCATTGACGGCACTGTATAGATCGTTCAGTGAGACGTCATTCAACTCCATTTTACCAGGAATATGAGTTTAAGCATCCCACAAACCGGCGCGAAATATTCGCTTTGGCTGCGAAAATTTCGCGGCGATGAATTCGCGATCAGATTAAAACGCGGCGGTTTACGGACAGGCTCAGACTTGTGCGAAGCGAATGCGATTGTTCCAGCGTTTTTATCGCGGCGTATGTCAGTTCGCCTTTGACCGCGTTTTTGACGCCGTTCTTCAAAAATTCGCAATGGCAAAAACGGAATTATTGATAGAAATAGTGAAAAAGTATCCTTGTTTGTATGATTTGTCGAACGATGAATACAGGAATGTGAAAAAGAAAGACAAGATTTGGATGGAAATAGGAAAAGAATTAAATACAAATGGTATGTACCTAATATTTTTTATTAACTTGTTAAATAATTTACAGTCTACACAAATGTGAAAACGAACATTCTATATATTGGGCATAGGCATATCAGAATTAAAATAATTTACGAATTTGTCACGAGTAGAAAATGCTAGCCTTGCTGCCCGCCGAGGATCATTTGCTATATCAGTAAAAGCTCCAAGCACGGGTTCTGGGGGATCTAAGAATTGAAAATATTTGTCATCGCCACTTTTACTTCGTAAAAAATTGTGTAAAACACATGCCGTACGTACAATTAGAATAGTAATATCTACTTTAGTTTCTAATGGCCTGTAAAATATTCGCCATTTTTGAGACAAAATACCAAACGCATTTTCCACGACCCTTCTAGATCGACAAAGTCTTACATTGTATTTCTCTTTTCTGACGTCTGTTAAAGTCTGCTTATAAGGAAATGGTCTCATAAGGTATGGTTTTAAAGCAAATGCTTCATCACCAATTAAGACGTACGAGCAGATTTCATTTTGCCCAGGGAGAAATCTAGGTGCAGGGACACTCATTAAATTTTGTTCAAACCCTTTTCCCATGTTTGAGGTTTTGAAAATACCCCCATCACTATTTTTCCCGAAACCACCAATATCAACACATATAAATTTATAGTCCGGGCCAACAATGGCCATAAGTACTATTGAATATTTATGTAAATAGCACCAGTAATTGGAGCCACTGTTGTTAGGTATCTTGATTGTTATATGTTTACCGTCCACGCTGCCAATGCAATTGGGAAATCCCCATCTATTTTCAAATTCTTCAGCACATTTTTTCCATATATTCTCTGTTGGCTCTGGTAAAATATATATGTTCCATATGTCTGCATATCGCTTCACAGACTTCGGTTACGATTGCACTCACTGTTGTAAAGCCAACTCGAAAGCTATGCCCAATGGTATAGAAGGTGTCACCAGTGGCAAGGAATCTATAAAAAAAATCGTTTTTAGCTGATGAAGTAAAAAAAAGGTGGAAGAATATCAGAGACACATTTGCAAAATATATAAAATCTACCAAACCAAAGACCGGCCAAGCAGTGGGCAACATAAAGAAATGGCAGTGGGCTGACTACATGGAATTTTTCCGTCCTTTTTTGGCATTTGCCAAAACGTCGTCTAATGTGAAAGATATTGACGTCATACATTATGAGACTGCCGAATTTAACTCAAATATACAGGGTGACTTTGAAGTTGAGTCATTAATTTTCAGATAATGATTGTAGAAGGAAGATAAACCAAAATATGTGTTTTAAAAATAAAAAAAAAATAAAAAAAATGTTACCTTGTTTAATAAAGTATCCTCCCGACAAGTATTTCAGTGCGGACCTGTATTTGATCGTGCGGTCTTGGAGCAGCATGCCCTCACCTGTGAGGTCTTAAGTCACCTGATTCACGATCCACTGCCCCCCCGTAAATAAGAATCATGTCCACAAGTTCAGCATTTTCGTAAACATGTGCCATTTTTGATTTCGTTTGAGCCACGCAACACACTGCTATTCACTTACGTGTTATCGACTGACGAAAAACATCATCGTGATAAACGTTCCAAATTCTTTCGCTTTTTTGTTTCCGATGCGATGAACCGGTCAGGCGGATTATATCCGTTGTCGCCAAACACGAGCATATAATAGGCAGGGCGGTACTCAAACTTCCAAAGGGCTATAACTTTGTTACTTTAATTTTACCAGAAAAATGGTAAAGGAAAAAAACATTTCTTTTGATCAGATCTACTCACTGTTAAAATAAATGACTCAACTTCGAAGTCACCCTGTATATCAGGAAAGGGCTGGAAATGTTGAAACCGAAAATTTGGAAGACCGCGGCCATGGAGAAGATGAAAATGCTGATGTAGATGCAGAAGATGCACAGAACGCCTCGGCAACACAGACAGCACCACCTTCTTCATTGAACACTACAGCAGTGACTATTCCAAGGCACACCTTTCCGCCGACTGCAACTACACCAAAATATAAAAAGAGCAGAAAACGCTATGAACCACCATCTTCGTCTGTACAACAGCTCATTAATTATTTTGAAGGTAAAAAACCTTAAAAAGAGAACGAGGCCATTGATTCAGTTTTCTTGGCACATGCACAGACTGTGAAAACACTTCCCTTAAAGCGTCAAGCCCGAATAAAACTAAAAATAGCCGAATTAATAGCGCACGAAGAATTTGAACATATTGAAGAAATGTCTTCAGCGTCTACCCAGAATTCTGCAAGTATGTAAATGATAGTAGTATGTCGTCCTTCCCAAGCGGCACTGGGTTTACTCCAATAATATACCCAACAGAGGAGGCAAATTCTGCCTCGAATTATTTAGCAACATTTAATCCTAGTGGCAACATGTAGTAATTATTACAATAAAATATTTATTTCACGATCCCTGAAGTTTTCGTATTCGATAAGCCTACTAATTTTAATACATATAATTTTTTTACCTGAGTGTAATAGCAAGTCGTTCTTCTGGCGAAATAGCTTCACGATAATTTGTGTCAGATTTTCGTATTTCATCTTTCACCAAGTTCAATATTTCATCGAAACACTCTGGAGTCATTCTAAAATATACGTAAAAGCGCTGTTCATCCAGCCGAAGTTGTGGCATCAAGGTATGGTATTCCCCAAATTTATTTCGTTCCAAGTTAATATCATGTACCCACTTCCTTCGTTTCCTAAACAAAATTGAAAATATTTGTTTTATGTACTTCGTTAAACTTAATACATACCCAACTATCAAATGGCGTTAAGTAAACATAACTTACCGTGCATTTTGTTCATCTTCTAAAGCAAGAAATAGAAGTGTCTCCTCTTCTTCTGAAGACGAGCTCATTGCAAAAGGCAAAAATAAAATGTCCGCAACCTGTCGAAACCTTCACGTTCGCGGAGCGAATAAGACGCTTTGGTATGAATAAACAGGCGAAACAGATTGCGAATTTCGCTCTGAATTTCGTTGCGAATACTTCGCCGCGATTATTTCGCGCCGGTTTGTGGAATGCTTTATTCTATTTTTTGGATGTCATATGACATGTGTATCATAAAGAACTATGTCACTAATTTCCGTCGATCTGCTTGACTGTCTGTCTGCCAATACTTGGTCTATAACTTCATAAGTATCGCTTGAATTTTAGTGAAGCTTTCACACAAGGTTGCTATTATTCCAACGAAGGAAGAGCTTCTGTAAATCGGTCGAGTGGCGGCGAAGAAAATACCCAAAAATGAAAAAAAATAATCTCTCAACCTTCATTTTTTGACATCTCAGGGGATCCTGACCATTTTCGAAAAAAAAAATGTATGGGTTGAAATTTGGGGATTGTAGGCGATGGAGTATATGAAAATTGTTTGTTTTTGGTGTATTTATGCGCCCCCAAGCTCGGCAATTCTATGCACCTATTAGCCATATTTCACACATCATAGATTTCCCCGTACCTTAAAACTGATGAACGATATACAGATGAAGTTTTCGATCTGCGTACTCCTGCTATCTAAATGAGCGATAACTCGCTGCAGCGATACCGCGCAATTGTGGAAAAGTCAGACAGTCACTACTGGTAGGGCTGGGAAAGAATTTGTATGGACTAATTGAATGTGCCTCCTGATTAACAGATGAGCTGGGATTTTTTCGGGGAGTTTATATTGATCTCCGAGCACCACCTACACCTGGGACTTGTAAACCTTGTTCCTAATGGTTAATCAAGGGTTTTGTTTAACCGCCTATATGTCAGAATATCTGGAGATTGTGACCACTTAAACGACAGGGTATAGTTCGGGGTACAGCACAACACTATTAGGACTGAACCTCACCAAAATATCATTAACTAGCATTGCAGCTGATATACTAGTGGGCTGTTTTTGGCAAATCGAACGTATTAAGGTTATAGACCCCAGATTTGAGACGATAACGCTAGCTAACTTATATGTTGCTATTCCGAATTGTCTGGATAAGTTGAAAGCAACTCCAGTTTGGACTTTAAATTATTTCAATTAATATACGTACCTTTTTTTCAGGTAAGCGGATATATTTTGCAGTCCAGCAAGTAAGTACCAATACAGAGCTAGCAGATTATGTGATGGAAGCTACAAATGTAAGCAAAAACTTTTATGTACTTTTGAGGCTCTGTGCGTAGTGGAGGTCACTATTGTGTGCTTGCTTTCACTCTATACTTTCTACCATCTTGCCTGAAAGCTAACAGTCTAGCAGACATAACTTTTTTGTAAAAGTAGTTCCTTGGCGTTAGGTTAACCTATATTTGTCAAAATACTACAAGATACGCGTTCATTTGGTTATGTTTATGAGATATATGAAGAAAATAGTAATCAAATAATGAACACTCATATAGTCTAATCATACGTATTAGACGAAATTACCCCTGGTTTTGGCACTTGTTGCTAATGCGGCGATAATTTCACGCAGCTACTTGAGATTCTTCAAATCCGTAGGCTTCATACTTCCAAATAACCACAACAAAATTGGAATCGATTAGTCAAGTAGTTTTTGAGACTTCTAGTTTACTGAGCAATATAAAGGGTTGGTTCATAGGGCACCCCTTATTTTTTTGCGAAAAACGAAGGGTTTCGTTTTTTCCTCTAAACAAATTCAAACATTTCGTATATATGAGTACGAGCCCCTTCCCACTTCAGTTGGCCCAACTATTGAAATCTTAGTTTTTTTCTTATCAAACACAAATAATAAAAATGTAGCAGGGTGTTATAGGTTTAAAATATTAACATTATTTTGATAATATATAGTAGAAAACACCAACTTTATCACTCCCTAATCAAATTTCCAGCATAAAAATAACACATGTTGCAATTACAGTATATCAACCTATTTTCATTTCAATGCAAAATAAGTCTATAACGCATAGGTGGCTGTGAAAAATAAAAGCCACGACAATTGTTTTTATTAATCACAGCTGTCAGAATAGGTTTAAAATAGTTTTGGGTAGTTAAGGTTTTCAAAATGAGTAGAGGAAAGGTTATTAGTGATAAAATTCGGTTTCTGATAATTAAATTATTTAATTCTGGGAAATCAAACTCAGAAATTGCAACTTTGTTAGACTTATCGCGGTACAGTGTGTGAAATATTGTTAGAAGATATAACGTAACTGGCTCAGTTAATATTAAGCCACGATATGTGAAAAAAGTAATATCACAAATGCCGACCGAAGAGTATTAAGAAGAATAATCGTGAGAAATAGGCGTGCCAATTATTTACAATTAAGTGCTCTGTGGATTTAGCACTTGCAAGGTAAGTTTTCTTATACAAAAAAGTGAAGTAAAAACCCTAAAGTTGCTCAACTTGTTTATACGCCAAAGAAAAGCCACTATTAACTCCACTGCAAAAGAAACATTAACATCTGATGCGTTTCGGTAAATGTTTTACCAAGCTTAACACAGAACTTAATATTGGCTCTTTGTTCGAAAAAGTTACTGGACACTTGTGTGCGATAACTCCGCGAGAAGGGGTTCGATTTTCATCAAATTTTAACAGGGCATCAACGAAAGATGTACCTATTCAACGCTAGTTTCCGATAATAGATTGCTGTACTTGTATCTGATATCTTTCAAAAGTCCTGTTTACTTTGCGAAAGACCTTGTATGTAACAAGATAGCTAGTAGTAGTACTGATGTGGAAACGGAGCCTTGTAATTAGGTCACCTTTGAGCTTTTTTTGCCGACTCCTTTGTACCAAGACTATACTCCACATGTTTGTCTACTGACTATTGAATAAAGCAGTTCAAACGATGGGATGAATCTATTTAATCTTGCACCGATTAGACCTACCAATACTTTATATG